TAGTGAAAAGAACTCTAATTCACTAGAGTCTGAGTTAAAATAACTTAAGTCCCTACTGCCATGTATTGTGTGACCTTAGACAAAGCACTTAACCTCATCCTTCTCCCATCCCTTGGTGCTTTCAGAGTAATGCAAATATGGTAGTATATATTTCAAAAATAATTTGTTTCTCTTGTAGACTAGACTGTTGGGAGCTCTTCAGGGTATGGACTGCCTCCTAATCTTTGTATCATGAGCTAATAAAATGGTGCTTATCACAGAGAAAATGAATAAATGCTTACTGAAGTTTATTAATCTGTTAATAGACTACCTAGAGTGTTTCATTTTTAACATCCAAAAACTAACCCATTTAAAAACTGCTTTATTTTTTTTCCTCTACCCTAAAACATTAATTCCTAACTTGGTTATAGTCTGAAAGACTTTCCAGAACATACACAAATTCAGTTATAAAACAGTTAAAACAAATTAGGGATTCTCATGTGGTAATTTTAAATCAAGAGTCTTTTTAAATGTCACCCATATCACCTAATAAGTTTAGTTAACTATTATTAAATTAGTAAAATAAGTTACATACAATGGACTTAAGAGTTACATTAAGATTTACTGAACTGGAATCTAAGCATTCTTCTTACCAAAGGCTCTATGGATAGAGTTCCCTGGTCAAATAAGTGTGGGCAATGCTGCATACTGCATCTCTACGGAGTTTCAGTGTACATTAGTATTAAAGTTATACTATAGACTCTTAAGAGGTCCTATAGCCTCTCTTTTAATACAGCATTTCTTGAATTTATCTGCTCATGGAATATCTTTTTTACCTAATACCTACAGAACTAGTGTTAGACTATTTTATGGAATAGTCTACAGAACTAGTGTTACTACAGAACTAGTGTTAGACTATTTTATGGAATCAAAAATATTTACTACAGAACTAGTGTTCTACTATTTTATGGAAATATTTAAATACTACAGAACTAGTGTTAGACTATTTTATGGAATCAAAAATATTTAAATATCTCAGACCTTCCTATTTGGTCTACTATTACTAAACTATTTGACTTCAATAGCTTTATTTTTAATTTTAATCCCACATCCAAGAAAAGCTTTGGATTTTAATTTAAGTTTCTAGTTATTACTATTTACTGTATGTTTCCTTTTCGGAAACAGCCCTAGCAGCCATGATACATCCCTCTTATGATGACAGTACTGCTCAAATGTCTTCTGAGAGGAAGTTCTGTTGCTATTACCAAACTAACTGTACTTATCTCCTGAGGCAGTTACAGGAAGTACAGACAACTGACAAATGTCAACCAAGTACACCTTTTCACAGGCCATGCAATACGAGTAACTTTTGTTCACTAACATCAGATGACAGATTAAACAGAAATAGGGCTAATAGAATTATTTTCCTTACTGGATAATTAAGATCACATAAAATCGTGTTTGTTAAAGTACCTTATAACTCTAATCCTCATTAAAAGCAAGTAATAATAAATATTAAAAAGTAATTTAATTTCACTGAGGACTTGCCAGTACTTTTAATGACTAATCATAATATTGTATTTAGTTTTTGCTTTCTGACAAGCACCATGTTGGTTGCTTTCACATTAATTATTTAACTGCTCTTATTTCCCATTAATCCACCGTTTATTACTTTCATTACAGTCTCTGACTTGCTTATCTAATGGTATAAAAGCCTTCTGGTGACTTATGAAATGCTATTGCACAGCTGAATTAAATTCAATTACATATTTAGGGGCATGATCTTTCTTCCTTGTTTCCAAAACTTATTTCAACCTGCTTTTAGAGATGGTGTGCTGCTGGAGGTCAGCTTGCTGAAAAACTGGCATCTAGAAAACAGTTTTCCATCTTTCACTGATGGTTCTAGCATGCAGAATTCACCCCATCCAAAAAATAAGCTGGGTCAGGAGAAGTTCACTATGGGACATGTTAAAATTGTTGCCTATAGCTATGTGAGGATGGCCAGTAAGCAGTAGTCTATAAGGGTATGAATCATAAGGAAAGAGATCAGGGATATAGATAGATTTGGAAGTCATTTATATAGATAATTACTGAAGTCACGATAGTAGAAAAGAAACAGGTGGTCAAAAGCACTGATACTTAAAAGACAAATAAGAAGGAGAGGAGGCTGAAAAAGAAACAGAGGAGATACAGCTTCAGCAGTGCTGTCCAACAGAATTTTCTTCAGTGATGGAAATAACCACCAGCCATATTTGCCTATTGACTACTTGAAGTTTGGCAAGTGTCACTGAGAAACTGAATTTTTAATTTTTAGAAAATATTAATTTAAAATCAAATAGCCACATATAATTACTGCATTGGACAGTGAAAGGCTACAGAGTAGGCTGAAAATAAAAGTGACATCATGGAAGTCATCAAAAGAAAGTATCTCAAAATGCAGGGAATGGTCAACAGTATTAAATATTAGAGAGGACAAACCAGCTAGGACTAAAAAGTGACTACTGTATTTAGTAATTCAGGGGTTGAATTGTGTCCCCTAAATCTTTATATGTTGAAGTACTAACCCCCACTACCTCAGAATGAGATTTCATTTGGAAACAGGATCACTGCAGATGTAATTAGTTAAGATGAAATCATACAGGAGTAGGCTGGGTTCCTTTTTCAATATGACTGCTGTCTTTATAAAAAGGGTAAATTTAGACACAGAAACATGCACACAGGGAGAACGCCACGTGAATATGAAGGCAGAGATAAGGGTGGTACGTCTATAAGACAAGGAGCACCAAAGACTGCCAGCGAGCCACTGGAAGCTAGGAGAGGGTCTCTAATGCCTTCTGAAGGAGCATAGCCTTGTTGACATTTTCATCTTGGATTTCCAGCCTCCAGAACTGAGACAATATATTTTGTTGTTCAAGCCACACAGTTTATGGTACTTTGTTACAGCAACCCCAGCAAACTAATACAACATGAAAGAGATCTTTGATACATCCTAGTTGCTTTGTCTATCTACTTAAATCTTTAAAAATGTATATTCTTATTTAAATCTTAATCTTCTAGCATATAGGGAATATAGCTGTTAAAAACTTTGTATTAACATTAAATGTTTAAGAGCAGCCACCTAATAAATTCTAATTAATGATGTTAAATTTCACTTGTACATCTGAAGTACTGAAATATAAACACTGCACTACAAAATAAACACAAAGGGATCTGAAATAACACAATTCCCAAGGGGGTCCATGAGATCTAGTTATCTGGCTCAAACATTCCTTCACATCATCATAAATGTCATGTTTTAAAAACAATTATAAAAAAGCCACTTACCTTTGGTTTCTAAATTTTTAGTAGTCATTTTTTCCCCTTAACCACTGAAAATGGACGCCAAGACTTCTACTGAACAACCTAGAAATGTATGCATATGAAATAATTTAAACAATATCACATAAACACATTCATTGAGCACCTCTAATTTAAAAGTTATGATATTTTAATTGCTTCTGTATTTAGTACGCATGCATTTAGAAAGGGAAATGTCTCTTATATCCCATTCTCCCAGAAGGCATTGTTACATCTACTAAAAGTTTCAAAAAAAAAAAAAAAAAATAGGGGTGGTTTACTTCTAAATGTTCCGTTTCACCATCCTCACCAATACACTCTAAATTGTCAGAAGTGTGTCCTGAATTTTAGCCAAGCAATGGCAGTGAAGTTACTGTGGTGGTTTTGTGTCATCCGTATGACAAGAGGAATTTTAAAGTAATTACTTTCTTAGGAGACATACTGACACAATTCGTATGCACACACAGACACACGCACACACATATCAAAAAGGAGCTTCTGTTTAGATGTGTAACAAACGACAAAAAATATTACTCAAGATAACATAATTCATACTTTTTTGGTAATAAAAAGTTAAAATAGTGTAGCTTCAAAAGTAAAAAGAGAAACATATATTGAGCACATGCTTTCAGAAATGTACACACTGCCTACAGTACAGACTCAGATTTACTAGAGGACATATAAAAAGGTGATGCTACTGCAATGATATAAATATGACAAACTGTACACTAGATGACAACTGGTTTCACTACAAAAAAAGATCGCTCTCAGTACTAGATACAACTCAGTTCAATTAGTGAACCCGACGACTAACTTTCTTAACAGTCACAAACTTTTCTACACTACAGTCTATTGCTCCGAAAAGAGGTATCCAAAAAACCCTTCCTAAGAGTAACGATCCCTGAAACTGCCCTTGATAGTTGCTCTGCGAAACGTACAGGCACAGCGAATGCCTGCTGGCAAATGCCAAATGAAGGTGAGGGGCTGAAGAAGTAAGTAGGGGGAGTGAGCAGGTATGAGAGCGATAGGCCGGGAAGCGACAAGTCTGTCAACCTTTGCTGTCCCGGGAAGTCGAAACCGAAGTTCCATCCCTGTCTGAAAAAGCCTTCCCGGAACAACAATCGTTCCCTAAATCCAAAGCTACTGGCCAGCAAACTCCAGCCAGACCTCCGTCCCTTTCCAACATCCTTAGTTATACCTGCTTGTCCTCGGATTTAACTGTAGGATTCTTATTCTCCGTATTTCAGGGGGCTTCACTTCATAGGCTCTTCGGATCCGTATCACCAGGTTAACTTCTCACAGACCTCTTCCATTCAGAAGCCGACCCGCCCAGGCCCTCCACATATCCAGGAGCTCTCTCACGCCTAACCACTTCCGATTACTCAGGGTTTCGCTTCCGGAATATGTTTCCAAAAGAGAAGGGTAAATACATTCTGCAGTGCGTTTAAACTCAAGTAACACAGAACACACACTGTAAGGCCTCCGTAAGTGGAAAGCGGACAGATGTCTACTTTAAAATAAAATACCGTACGGCAACTTTTGGAGCCCAAGCCTCAGATTCACTTAAACTTCCGGGCCAGCTGTTTAAACAAACGGAAGTAAAACTGCCGGAAACAGAAAAACGGCGTCTCGTAGCCCCAGGCGACAGCGTGGAGGGGCGGGCCTGTCGATTGGGTGAACGCAGCTGAGATTACTCCCAGCCACTAAGGACGAAGAGGTGGGGCGGTGGCGTCCCACGCACCGTGCGACAGTGGGCGGTGCTCTGTTGCCTGAGTAACCGGATGATGGTGTTGGTGGTGGTGTCTTCCTGTCTCAACGATACCTATTTTCTAGTGCTGAGATCCTGAGACAATGGTGAGTGCCAGGGGATGTCAGAAGAACGGCTGTGGGGTCCTAGCTACTTAGCGTTCCAAGTCTTCAGGCGGATGGGCACTTAAAGTTGTCCTGTCCTCCCGACCTTCTCCCCATTATCTCTTTCCGCCTTCCCATGGGCTGTTACTGCAGTTTACTCGCTCTCCGTATTTCTTACAGCACCCTGAATTCCACTGATGCTACTAAGTCTCTAGAGTAATGAAACAGAAAATTCAGGGTAAGGCATCGAGTCTAATAACCTGTTTTGAACAACATTATGTGTTTTCATTGTTCATCGTGGCATTTTTCATGCTCACAGATTCACATTAACGCGCTTTGTTAAGAGTATGGGGTGGTGTGTATGTGACTGTCTCAACACTGATCTGAATCTCCCTAGATCTTGGAGTCCTTTTGCTTTTCTGAGTGGCAGAGCACTGCCCCACGCCCCCACGAGGGCCATTAACAGATGTATGTTGGATCAGCTCTTGTCTGTCCAGTTGCTTACCTTCTAGGTCTGTGCTTGCTTTTCTTTTCTTTCTTCTTCTTTTTTTCTTTCTTTTTTTTTTTAAACAGAAATTTCTCCTGGGATTGCTTGGAGAGCTTCTGCAATTCACTGTTTGGACTTCACCCCTGGAAATTCTGAATGAAAGGAATGGGGCTCGGTATTTGCATTTTAAATAAACCTGTAGGTGATTTTAATTCACCCACATGTCTGAGAGTACCAGGGTTCTAGTTAATTCACTTAACTGTCGTATCTTTTAAGCACTTATGGATAACGGACTGGAAGATAGAAAGATCTTTAGATAGTTATAGCTACGAATTTAGAAACAGAGCCCCCACCCATCACCCCTTGTTTCTTCATACTACTCAGCAATCCTTTTGGTTACCCCAGTTTTCCCCTGCCCCATTTTCTGTAAATACATTTTCAAGCCTTCCATTTATAAACCCTGTCTTTTGCCCTCCTCATTTCTCCTTTCTAAACATGATGGAGTATAATAGGCCATTTCTTCAATCTCATGCCCCCAACCTACACACTGATCTATATTTTTGCCAAGCCTTTAGTCTTGTATTTCTAGTGTAGAGAAAGGGATATTAAAGGATAATCCATCCATCTTTGCTCTTGATCTCATTTGCTTCCATCTGTTACATTTCGCTTCCAGTTGTCTTTTTTCTTTCCTGTGCTTTCAGCCTCTTCCTCTCCAGTTCCTTCTACTCAGTGCTCAAGTCACACATCTTATGAAAATTAAATAAAGCAAAACCATGTCATCCATCCTGTGTTTATCCGGTTATTTCCCAGTCCTCCTATCTATCAGTAAACTTATTGAAAGGATATTATTTTTACTTATATCAAACAGACAAAAGTCTTTTGTCTGGCTTCTTTAATGCCTTCAAGAAAGTTGTTCTTGCTTAAGTTTCTAAAGACCTTTTAAATGCCAAATACAGTAATTACTTCTCAAAATATATATTGCTTAGTCTGTTTGTGACAACTGAGGTTCATAGTCATTAATTCCTTTTACTGGCTGTGCCTGGTTTTTGAATGTCGTTCTTTGGAATTCACTCCTTAATTACTTTCATTTCTTAGTCTAGACATTTTCCTTGGGTGATTTTGTCCACTCACACGGATTCTACTAACACCTTTGATTTTGCTTCTAAATTTCAATTTTCCTCTCAGATCTACTAATGCCTAACTCAGTTGCTTCCCGGACACATCTGTCTCAAAGGTCCCTCAAACTTAATATGACCAAAACTGAACTTGCTCTTTCCTCCTGGTTTCTCCTATTTTCACCAAGTTAAATACTGCTACTACTATATTATAGTATATATTATAACTATATTATAATATATACTATATTATAAACTAGAAATCAGAGTTATCCTACATTCCTCCCTTTCCTATTTCTCTCATATTCAGTTGGTCACTAGATCGAATTTTAGTTTGTCATCTCCTCATTTCTTGATTATTTTAATAGTGACTTTTACAGTCTGGTCTGGAAATTCTCCAATCCATTATTTTCTCTGCCACAAGAAGGAATTTTTAAAAGCCCAGCCTGTTGATTTACTCACCTCCTTAAAACTCTAGAATCCCCATTTCCTACAGTAAAATGTCTAGAGTGGCACACAAATTCCTCCATGAACAAGCACTTTTCTGTCTAGCTTTTGCCTTTCCCTTTCCATACCTTTTTTTATAAAAAAATTATCTTGCCTTTTAGCTACTTGCTTTTCATTGAACATACCAAGCAACTTCAGACTGGTAGTATGCCTCCTCTTTCTACTTTGCACTTGCAATTCCTTCTACACAGAATACCTGCACCCTCTTATTGCTTGCCAAACTCTTATTTATTCTCCTGTTACAGGCCGACGTGTTCTTCTTGCCCGCTTCGCAGAAAGGCCAAACGTTGAGAATGCAGGAGTTGCAGCAGAGAAAGAGTTTAATGGAGGCAAGGCAGCTGAGTGGCAGGATAGGAGATATTTCTAAAATCCACCTCTCTGACAGCTTGGAGGTTGTGGTTTTTAAGGATAATTTTGTGGGCAGGTGGGTAGGGAGTGGGTGCTATTGATTGGTTGGGGATGAATTTATAGGTGTTTCCAAACTGTCTTCTGTGCTGAGTCAGTTGTCTAGGTGAGAGTCATAGGACTAGTAGAGTCAGTTTCTTGGTATGAGTCATGTATCTGGGTGGCATCAGGAGGTTTGCCAGAATGCAGAAGCCTGAAAAATATATCAAGACCAATCTTAGGTTTTATAATAGTGATGTTATCTAAAGGAGCAATTGGTGAAGTTACAAATCTTGTGACCTCTGGCTACATGACTTCTGAATAGTAAGAAATTGTAGAAAAGCAAGGACTAGTAGCTGGTTATTGCTTACCTATGCCTATATCTTAGCAGATTTTAGATCCCTCTCAGAATCCTAACTTTGCGGCCTTCTATTAGTCTTACAAAGGCAGTTTTAGTCCCTAGAGGGGGTCAGTTTTGGAAGGGACTATTACCATCCTTGCTTCAAAGTTAAACTATACATTTCTCCCATAGTTAGCTTGCCTGTGCCCAGGTATGAGCAAGGGCAGTTAGCTTTGTGAGGTTAGAAGCAATATGGAGTCAGTTAGGTTAGATTTCTCTCACTGTTACAATTTTTGCAAAGGTGGATTCACTTCCAGACCCAGTGTAGGTGTCTCTGCTGTGATGCCTTCCTTCCCTGCTCAGAGAGGGTTGAGTCGAGTCAGGTGCAGTGGCACATGTGTATAGTCCCAGCTATTGAAGAGGCTGAGGCCAGAGGATTGCTTGAGGCCAAGAGTTCAAGGCCAGCCTGAGCAACATAGTGAGACCTTGTCTCTAAAAAAGTATAAATAAATACAAATTTAAAATCTATGCAGATAATCAGAGCTTTCCCCTCCACACTGTGAAATCAAGAAAAAAAGAAAACGGTTGATTGTTCATTCTTTTTTGTCACCATTTTATGTAGTATATGTCTCTCCTATTGTACTTGCCTCATTCAGTTGAAATTATTTGTTTATAGATTTGTCACTGTTACTAAAATGTGAACTGTTAGAGGAGTTGATGTTTATTTTGTTCACAGTATTACCTAGATTATATTAGGCACTCAAATGTTTGCGGAATGAATACAAAATAAGAAAGAATGTGGTAAGTGGTCTGAGAGAATACAAAATAATTGGGGGCAAATTGTACAATTGAGTCCCTGCTTCTCAATCAGAGTCAGAAAAGTTGTCATAAAGAAAATGGAATAGAATTTCAGGGAGGTTAGAAAGTAACATTTGCTAAATACTGTTTTTTTGTTTTTTGTTTTTTTTTTTGTTTTGCCTGTCTTACATTATTGTTACCAGACTTCCCAGGAATGCTAAGGGCAATGAATGAACTCCTGTTCCCACTCCTCCTGCCAGGATTGCAGACTGGGGCTCTTTCAAATTAGGTGGTCTATGAAGGCCTCTCTGTGGAAAGAACTTTTATATTGAGACCTGAATAATATAATACAAAGTACAATGATCTGGAGGAAGTGTTCCAGGCCACGCTAACAACAAGATCAAATACCCTGAGGCAGAAAAGAGATTGGTATATTTTAGAAACTTACGGTTCAATGTAATAAAATAATAGAAACTGGGTGGTGGGATGGTGCAGGGGTGGCTGCAGTAGGGAAAGTATGGTACAAAATACCATGAAATGTGGTGAGGGAGGTAGGCAAAGGCCAGACCACATGTATACATACAGCAGTGTTTCTCAAACTGTACCTGGTAACTCATTACTCAAATTTGTGGTATGTAGCCAGCATTAAAAAGAGGACATAAAATACCAACTTAACGTATTCACTACATGTTGTAAGGGTAATTTTCATGAACTTTTGTTTAATTGTATAGGCATTGGATGTGTACTGGATTCTGATGTAAAATGTATTTCTTACTGTGAGTCCTGATCCACAAAGTTCAAAACACAGTGTACTTTGAAGAATATATACTTTATTTGTTTTGTTTTGTTTTATTTATTTATTTATGTATTTATTTTTGAGACAGGACATTGCCCTGTCACCCAGGCAGGAATGCAGTGGTGAGATCATGGCTCAGTGCAGCCTCAACCTCCCAAGTTCAAGCGATCCTCTAGCCTCAGCCTTCTGAGTAGCTAGGATAATAGTTGTGTGCCATGATGCCCAGCTAATTTTTATTTTTTTTGTAGAGACAGGGTCTCACTATGTTGCCCAGCTTGGATTTGGACTCCTGGGATCAAGTGATCCTCCCACCTTGGCCTCCCAAAGTGCTGGAATTATGTTTATGTTGAGATTTCAACTATTTTGCCTTTTAAACTATATATTAGCTACCACGTTCGGCTAATATATAGTTTAAAAGGCAAAATAGTTGAAATCTCAAGGCCTGCAGATATTCTTATTCCTCTTTTGACCTAGTGAAAATGTTCTTGTTGTGTGGCAGATACAGCTTTGAATTAATGACAGCCTAAAATTGGCTAGAGTGAAATTTTCAAGTTTCTTTCTGCATCCAGATAACTCTCCTACATATTTGCTGTCAATTGTTTATGAGAAAGAACAGGCCTAAGAAGTAGATGTCCCTTTTCTGTATTCACTCTAGCCACTGTTGTATGTATTGTAGCAAAGGATTATGGCCTCTCAATAAGCAGCTGAAGATGGAGGTTGTTTGCTCTGTTGGTGAGGCTTCCTGACCACTGCAGTTTATCTAATCAGCTTCTGTCTTCATCTAGTTTGTTACAATTGTAGCTTCCAAATT